TAAAAAAAGGACCAAAAGGACAAAAATTTTCTTTAAAAGCTCTAGTCGGAATGTTTGTTGGATATTCAGAGCATTCTAAAGCTTTCAGGATTTATATCCCAAATAAAAATAAAACTATTATTTCAAGAGATATACGTATTGCAAACAGATTTTTGTATAAAGAAAATGTAAATAAGAACTCAAACAATGTTAAACATAGTCCTAGAGATATATTAGTAAATTTTGATAATAAAAAGGATTCAGAAAGGAGCTCTATAATTTATGAAGATCTTGAATCTGAAATTAACCAGCCCGAGACAGGCACAAATCACGAATGTAATGTTGAAGAGTCTGACTGAGTTTCAGAAGATGCTGAGCAAGAAGATCACATTGATAATGAGATGGAGCCTAGCATTCGTAATGAACACACAGGACGGTCTCTAAGAGACAGATCAAAAATTGTACCACCTCAGCGCTTTAGTGAAAGTATTATTATATATTAGTTATGTAATGACAGCAGTAAATGAACTCGATGATAAGCCTAATGAACCGCTATCATATAAGGAGGCAATGAAAAATTCAGACAGAGATAAATGGTTAGCGGCAATGTTATCCGAAGTCACTTCCCTAAATGAAAATAATACATGGGAGTTGGTCGATTTTAAAGGAAGACGAGCTTTACCTACCAAATTGGTATATAAAGTGAAAATGAATCCTGATGGGTCAATTGAAAGATATAAGGCACGACTGGTAGTTAAAGGTTTTTCCCAAGAACCCGGAGTAGACTTTGATAAAACGTTTAGTCCAGTTGTAAGATTAGCTACAATCAGAGCTTTACTTGGAGTGGCTGCTAGTGAGAATCTGAAGGAACAACAGTTTGATGTAACAACTGCATTTTTGAATGGAGAAGTTGCCGAAGAACATCAAACAGCCTGAAGGCTATAGTAATGTCACAGATAAAGTCTGTAAATTAAAACAAAGCTTATACGGACTAAATTAAGCTCCGAGGTGTTGGAATACTTGTATTTCCAATTTCTTAACCAATGCTAACTTTAAAAAAAGCGAAGCGGATCCATGCTTGTATATTAGAAAACAGCAGAATTCTAAGGTTCTAGTGGGTTTGTATGTTAACGACGGATTGGTTGCTTCGACAAGTGACGAAGCTGGTAGAGAATTCTTAGAAGAATTGAAACGTCGCTTTAAGATTACTACAAAACCTGCAACATACTTTCTTGGGCTAGAAGTAAACAGGCAAGAAAATGGCTCAATAACACTAAGCTAAAAAGCATATAACTAAGATTTTAGAAAACTGTGATATGACTTATTGTAAGCCTGTTGCAACACCTGCTTTAAAAATAAAAGAAGAGGAGGAAGAGAATAGCAATAGTGCTAGTTTTTCTTACAGACAAGCAGTTGGTGCATTGGCTTATCTGACAGTAGCTACAAGGCCAGATATTGCATACGCAGTCAGTGTTGCATCACGCACCTTGGAAAATCCATCATCTTCAGATATACAGAGAGTAAAAAGGATATTAAGATACCTTAGAGGAACAATTGACAATGGACTTATATTTGCGAAGGGTAATGACACACTGGAGTGTTACAGTGACGCCGATCTTGGTGGAGCGTCTACTGGTCATTCTACAACAGGAATGATCTGCATATATTCTGGACCTATTTTGTGGAAAAGTCAGAAGCAATCCACAGTTGCCATTTCGACAACAGAAGCGGAACTAATGGCTGCAAGTGAAACCGCAAGAGAAATGATTTGGCTAAGGAAAATAATGATGAAACTAACAGATTTGAAAATTCCACCTATTCTTCATGTCGATAATGAGAGTGCTGTGAAACTGACATACAATCCGCCACATGCGTTTCACAACAGAACAAAGCACATTAAATTACGGCATTTCTTCGTAAGATAATGTGTGACAAATAAAGAGCTGACAGTGAAGCAGATTTCAGCAGAATTACAACTAGCTGACATGTTTACAAAACCACTGGTCAAGCCTCGTTTAGAAACTTTGTGTAATCGCCTAGGGCTCATCAAAGTAGTGGGGGTGTGAAGGCATAAAGCCTTATTACATGGTGACCTAGCAACGGGTTGTTGATAGAGTTATGTCAGTCTGCAATATCATTTAATGTAAAATATAAAACCAAACAATTTCTTTATTCTCTGAATATATATTTACTGAAGACTGTTATCTTTCAATGATATTACTTTTATAGACGTACCCGAAAATCCTGCCTTTGCCAGTTGAATGCGTTGCTCAGACTCCACTTCACGTTTTAGAAAATTCATAAGAGCTGTCAGTTCTGTATCAGTGCTTGATTGACTAAAAGATTGTCTAGAACGTTCCCATGTTTTTAAGATGTCGTCTGGTAATGAAGACTCAATCATAGTATATACGAATGTAGCATATTTATCTTTTGTCATTCCTAAAGAGTCCAAAGATCGAATCTGGCTATTTAACTGGTCATATATCTCAGCCAGTGACATCGTATTCCCTTTAGCTTGTAAGAGTGCCACATTAAGCAACTCACGAACATAAGTTACGGTCAAAAGATCATCTCTAGCAAAACGCGCTTTTAATTGTTCGAGAGCGTTATGATAATTCATTCCAGATGGTGGAAAACTTTCTACTACAGATCTGACGTGTGAATTCCTGGTTCCATACATTGTAATAAATATTGGTATTTGTCATCGTCTTCAATATTTTTATCAGTGTCAATTTTGCGAAACTGACCCCAAAACGGCAGCCAATTTTTATTGAATTGTCAAATTTCTTTAATTCAATTTTCGGTAGATTGTATTGACGTTTCGGTGCCTGGGGAGGTTTAATAATGACGCTTGGTGGTTTTGTATGCGCATTATAATTATCGTTACTGCTACATAAGTTGGAATTTCTGCGGTACTAAATTCCATTAGTTGTGGTGGAATTTCGGGGTAGTTTTGATGTGGGAGAAGGAGGGGGTCTCCCGACTAAAGATTTTAGTCGGAAATGCATGTTTTTTTTTAATTAACCTAACCTAAAAATTAATAATTTTTTTAGGATGCAAAGACTAGGGAAGTTAGTACCAGTAGTTCTGCCTTATCTCCGGCGCTGCTCGAATAGCAGCCCCGCCGCCTTTGCGTGACAAAGTCACAAGCATCACTCTCTTTCACACCTTCGGCTTGTTGCCTCAGGCGCTACGAGTCGCACGATGCTTGCGGCTTTGTCACAGCAGGTGGGGGCTGCTCTCCCTCCGCGCCTCCGGGTTCTAAAAAACACTCTAGGGGTAGGGCAGACCAAGACCACGGCGTGTCGGGGTTGATTGACCAAGTCGGTTCTGAATTAAAGATTGTTGTAAATCCACATTTACCTTTTTTTCTAAGTGTGGAGCCCATACTATTTCTTATTTACCAAGTAAATAATAGCAAATATATTTTTTACCGACGAACACAGACTGAATGACATTTCTCAAAACAAACACAAAACGGCGGGACATCTGTCATTTTGACAATAGTACCAACATAATCAACATATTTTTTACCATAGACAACGAGAAACATGTTATTTCTGCATGAAAAAATGGCAGCACTGATCAAAATGGCTGTCAAAATTGACTTTAACCTACAAAAATATTAATTTTCAATATTATTTTTCTCGAGTTCTATTCGTTTCCGAATAAAAAAATTTCGTGTGTGTGTTCCTAATAATTAATACTTTCCGTGACAAAAATCTTAGCTCGCTACTCAACCACAACTAATGGAAAGCTGAGCCATTTCTGCTCTTACCTAAAACGTAGTAGTCCTTCATGATATTATCATATCGAGCTTCGATCATATACCATTTTTCAGCATAGATATCGATATTCGAATATTCTTCATCTAAGGCAGACTCTTCGCAATTTTTATCCAGCATTTCGTCCACAATTGCTGTATTTAATTTGGTCACCTTTTCTACCACCACACTCACTTTTTTGAAAGCCGTCATTAAAAATTCGGACGGTGGTACGGGAGGGACGAAATAACCTTCTAACTCTTTGCAATATACGGTAAATGAGCGTCATAGGACGCTGCGCTCTTTTATTAGGCGATTCATTTCCGAAATATTAAACACGGTCGCCAGATATTCGGAGTTAAAAATAAAATCACCTTATTTTGACCAACATTGACAAGTGTCTTTTTTATTATATTCCATGTCATACATCAAATATTTTAAACGAAACCATAAATACATTAAGATAGTAGAGAATTTTAGATGAAGTATGCATTGTGCCATGAACCATATTTCAACATTAATTAAGTTAGGGAAATTTTGCCCCTAAGTTTGGGCTGGCAACTAACAAAATATACCTAATAATAGTCCCATAAATATCATTGATAAATAACAGGTCCAAGATTTTTTTTGTTTTCGACATTAAAAGTGGCTGGCAATAAATGCTGTCGACAGAATGTGTCTGGCAGAATTAATTTCAAATTCCTTTTCATGCTTTTGAGGGACTACAGACCCATCGCGCTGCCGAGCCACTTTTACAAGTTGTTTTTGAGAGTAACTACTAACCGTCTAGCTAATAGATTAGACGAGCAGCATCCTGCACCAGCCAGATTCATCATTTATTGTTTTGGTCTATGATTTCAGCACCATAGACCACAACAACACGCTGCGGCAGCCACAACAAATCGAAGAATGCCACCAAGATTAGCATTGTGGAATTGAAGAAAGCCTTTGATTCAGTGTGTCAATGGGTTATGTTGAGATCTTTCCAGAGGTGCCATTTCGACTAAGCTACGTGTAAGCATTGAAGAGTTTGTAATAATAAAACACCACCTAGAATCTATCCAACTACAACCGAATAGAAGGCGAGATGTGAGCTCCCCGAAGCTGTTCACCGATGCGTAGGAAGAAGTCTAAGGCTCGTATTACAGAATGACTACCAAGTGCTGATCCCCACTTGAGCATAGTTAGAAAGGGATGTCGCTATGTGTTCTACATAGCGACATCCCTTTCTAACTCAAGCAAAGATCAACACTGAGTTGTCATTCTGTAATACGAGCCTAAGCTTCTAGATTGGAGCGGACTCGACACCAGCATCAACGGCGAGTACATCACTCACCGATTTGCCGATGATAGTGGTTATGGCAGACACTTGTAGAATCTCAATATAAAGCTCAACAACCTCAGCAGAGCCTCCCAATAAAAATAATAAAAAGAAGATGAGCAAGACAAAAATTGTCTAACATTCATGTTCCTCACATACATCTACACAGTTTAGGTCTGCAACACCCAACTTCGTGCAGCTTCAATCGAAGGGAAGCTATCTCTAGTCAGCTCCGCTTCTGTGGAAGCGAACCCTAATTTAGTCCGCGCGGTTTGGGATCGAAGATGATTGTGTTACTGATCTGATTACATAGGGTGCCGTGGTTGCAGAAGACTTTTGACACTGAAAATACTTATAATTATATTGGAAAAATGCAAACCAGATGTAGATAGATACCATATTTTTATTTTTGAGTGCATACAGAATTCTGCAACATCAATTATTTATTGAGACTAATATAGTGAGCCAAAAAATATTCTTTGAATTTGAATGTAATGTTTAATATGTACTCGGACAGTCTTAGATAAAGTTATTCCACAAATAAAATCTAAATAAGATTCAATGAAGTGACAGTCACTTGGTTATAAATATATAGTACACTCGTACTTGTTATAACTACAAGTATAACATACAGTGTTATCATTCGGCAAGCTACATATTTGAAAAGTGGACATTTATCACCTTTGATAACTCGATCGCGACGTAATACCTAAATTTCTTACCATACGCGCATAGAAGTAGCATAAACAAATCAGGTTAGATTTAAGTTAAAAATACACTGGAAGAATTTATCATAACAGATAGAAAAAAAAATTTCAATGCTATATCTTAATAATACTACTTAAAATGGAAAAGTGTTTAACAAAGATCCTAATGCAGGATATTATTTCAATATAAAAATTAACATCAACAATGAGTATACACAAAATAGTGGAACGTAATACACTTTTTTTTTAATTTACTGTTTTTTTGTGGCTATAACAACAAAAAGCAGAAATTTTATATACAATGAATGAATAATTAAGAAGCAGAGGCAAGTCGTGCTCGACTTTCAGCAACTAATTGCTTATTCAAATAAATATCCTCATCGGTAGAGGTGTCAATGAGGTCAAGGGTTAGAAGTGGTTCATTGGGATTAAGAGGGTCTTTGCCGACATCCTTACAAATCCCGACGAATTGCTGCTCTACACATAATTCTTGAAATCTGATACAGTCTTCTACAGTCCAGTCCTGATGAAGGGGCCACACATCTAAAATTAAAAAAGGAACAGTTAACCAAGAAAATCATGAAACCTTGTAACCTATAAGTGTACTTAACATTCAATGACAAATAATAATAATACAATAACGAGATTGGTGTCGATTCTGACATGACTCTAAATTTAACATCAGTCTCTCTTTTTTATTCTGTTTAGTAAAGAGAATAATAAGGATATACTGGGCCCAATTCTGGCGTGATAACTTATATCTAAAACTAACTAAAATTAGATATAGACTTGTCAAATTGATTTTGCAATTAGGCAATGACACTCTATCTCTGAATTAAAAATTGACGTTGCTACGTTAATCAACTTAGATTTAGGTGATTATTTGGTATTCTGAAACGCGTTCTAAATCTCACATTTTCTCTAAAATTAGAAATGTCACACAGTGTAAATTTAAGAAAGACCTACGGATGTCCTCTCTAAATTTAAATGTGAATAATTGGGATCAATAACTAGGTAAATGATAGCTATAGATAAGTTTTAAGCTTATTGTTAGGGTATGATATGGGTTTGGTTGGTTAAAAAAGTTATAAATTAATAATCAAATACGACGTTGATAATAATAAGTGGAAAGGTACATTTACTTAACTGTTTGCCCCGAGTACTTTTTTATATAGGTTGGTTGTTTTAATTACGTGGTTTTGTTTTTCTAAACCTTATGGTGTCGGTGATATGCATTCCAATCACCAATTCCAATCATAAGAGTCAAAATACATTTGGTCAAAATAAAATTTGGTATTTAAATGTCAATTAAAATTTGGTACTTTAGACTTTATTGTATTATTTATTCCTTTCTTTTTAGTGTTTTTTTTTTATGAAGCACTATTTGATATTTGTTAGAAATGTTTTTATTTCCCACTTTTTATTAGCTAATCATATTTCTTAAAATAACCAAACACGAACTAAATTCCTACTGTTTGTAATTGTGAAGTTTGTTTTTATATATGCGAAAGTACTTCTTATCTTCACCAAATCAATAATTGGGATTTGGGACCATCTTGTTAAAATATGATTGAAATAAAAAAGATAAAAATAAGTTACGCATCTCGGATTATACAACAAATGAGAACAAAGTCTTCACAAAACAGCCGAGGGGATAATTATAACCTTTTACCGAAACCGAAATTAATAACCATAGGTAGGTACCTAGGTATTAAGTAGATAGATGCGCTGGATTGCGAATTAACGATGCGAGAAATAGCGTAAAAAAATGCGTTAGACCGTGTCGGCCATAGCAGAATTATCTAATATTAAATAGTATATTTTACATGGATTATGGACACATTCACGCTATTACAGGCGGTAACCAACTGACAACCGAGCAACAAACGAAGAACGCTCGGAAAAAACTTGGTCCCGCCTCGGCCCGGCCACGGCCCGTTGCATGAATACAGCGCACGCCGGGCAATCGTAGTGATACTTCAGACAAAAAAAAAACGATTTTGCTCGGACGACTACATATAGGTATTATACTTTACTTTATCTGTATGAGTAGACTGCATTATGGCGCAACGTTACCTACCTGATTGCTCGGTTGAGGCCCGTCTTTGTAAATAACCAGAGGCGGCGTAAGGCGTGGGCGACGTGGGCCACCGCCTACGGCCTAGCGGTACAAGGGGCCTCGCGCCTCAAAAATTTTTATGCATTGTTTAAAAGCGAATTTTTTTTTTATTTTATAAAATCCGTCTTCATGTCGCCACAGAACGGGGCCTCGCGAAATCTGTCTTGCCCACATCAAATTTAGGTCTTGCCCCGCCATTGTAAATACGGGCGGTGACCGTGTTACGACTGAAGCTCGGCTCGGACTGGACACGTTCTTTCGGCACTTATCATCCTCAATAGATTTGTTAGGTATTAAAATCTAGTTGGTACCTAAATTTTATTTTAGAAGTGGGTGCTTTCCCCAACCTTTTGCCAAAAAAAATTACTAAGTCATGCTCTAAGATAAAATATGATTTAATTTCCCCAAGTTCATATTTTCCCCCAAATAAGGACAAACACTCCCGATAATTGCCGGTTCAATGCTTTAACATAATCTGTGAATTCAATGTAGATGCTCGTTTACAGTTGTCAACTGTGTTCTTAATTTAGTTAGTTCACTATTTGAGAATTCTCTAAACCTAAACTAAAATTAGCTCTCTAATTTTAAGTTTAGGTTTAGAGAATGTAACGCCAGAATCGGTCCCATTGTTACCAAAATTAAGTTTAGGTTTAGAAAATCATACATCATCAAACCGTATCGACACCATTGTCCAACTTTCAGTTCATTTACTTTGGATGCCATTTTTTTATTTGGAGTGCAAAGTGACCAAGTTTGATATTTACGAAGCGGAAACGAAACATGCGTTTTGCATTCTTAAAATTAATAGGTCTAATTAAGCCTAGTCTTCTAGGCAATACGGTAGCAAATATTTTGTATAGTTAAATAATTCATCATGAGACATTTTTATGGTCAGGTCACGATGGCCCTTAAAACAATAAATAAAAAAAGTTTTATTAAAAACTCGACATTTCTGAAATAGTGACTTGGACAATGACCATTTATTTTTTCTAGAGCGGCACTGACAGACATTGTCATGCTCGATAAAAAAAACCTGAAACCCGGCTGCAGCGCCACATATCGAGTAGCAGTTTTTAAGTAAATTTTAGTATTCTGTAATGTTTTACATTTCCTAGTATTTTTCTAATTTATAAAAAAAACTAAGGTATACGATAACAAGAAAGGTAGTTCAAATAATTTAGGACTCAAATTAAGGAGTAACCAAGGGAAGAAAGAATTCACTTTTATTTAAATAGATATTTCTTATGACTGTATGTACCAGGCCAAGAAAGTTTTGCGAAAAAAATTTTTTTTATGTATTGGCAATGGCCACTTATAATTATTTTCGAAAACTTCGATTATTTAAAAGTAAAAATACCACTGTTCGATTTTCAAATTTCCCTCCGCATTTTTTCGAGAGCCAATTAAATTTGTGGCCTACAACCTAATAAGTCATTTGATCGATTTCGAACCAGAAAAAAAGCGTCAGTCGAAAGTTTAGCTATTTCAAAATGAACCAACTGTAACGTGTTAAAAACGTCACATGGATCTCCTTCGCTCGAAGAGCGAGATAGAAGATTTTTTTTGGTTGTCTCTCTGGTCGTTTTTATCTCGCGCCCATTTTCTGTAATCTGTGCACTTTTGAATAATTATGTTGCTAACTTTATCAAGCAGTAGACTGAATGGACGTTGTTCTCTTTGCCTACCGGCGAGAGAAAACAAATTTGAGAAAAGACAAATGTCACTAATGTCACTACTGTCACTTCACTTCACGTTGCGATTTTACCGAGAGCGAAATGTCTCGCGGCTAATCTGAATGAATTACAAAGTAATTCATACTAATCTTATTATTTTTTAATGGTAAGTGTTTTTCCAAATTCGAAAAGTGTTTTAATTCATATATTTCAATGATTTACATTAGGATTCATTTCGTTTTCAGATGAAACATTTTACATCATTCATACAAAATTGCGATGACCATACTTTAAACTTAATTTGATTGAAAAAACGGTAAGAACCTTAGAGATTTCCTTAGATTTTGTGAGCCATGTGCTAATCTGAGGAATGTTTGTTTTCAGCGAAAAGCGTTTTTTTTTATATAGATTTTTATTTGGATATCTTATTCAAATTACGATGTTTCCCGTGATGTGGAGGTGAACCCACGGAATGTAAAAACGGCCATCCCTTAAACATTTGCAACACCAGACATATACACTTCCCAGATCAGATGCAGCAAAGTCGGTAATGTCCAAATTCATTGTCGTACCCGAACCCTAATATAAGGTAAGTTTTCACTTTATTTTTGGTAGCATCTTAGCCTTAGTTTCAAAATTTAGATTTAACCCTTTTGGACTTAAAATTTCAATAAATTGACAACCCAGAATGAATATGGATTTGCATTAAGCCCCCTTTGTGATTAATATTCCAATGTTCTCCCGGCTAATAAAGATGGTACAGTCCAGGCGCCCGAATATTCTTTTTTAATTGATTTCGGTCTGTCCATTTCAAAAACTTATTTTTTAATATTACAATTGACGCCAGCGCACAGGGACTTAGTTTATGCAATCCATCTCATTTTGTACCTATAATAGTAGTCTTGTCTGGTTGTTTGTAATCTTTATTATTACATTTGTGGTATAATATAACTTTTGTACTTGAATTTTGATACATAAACACAGATTTTGTCTGTAATATTATTACAATTTAACTTAATGTTTTGGATGGTTCGTGTTAATATTAACTTTTCATTTAACTACTTGTTTTGAACTTTATTTCATATTTGGAATGTTCTATATACGTCTGTAGTGATGCATCACATAATATTAACTACTTTTGTATGTTAATTTAGTATTTTGCACATGCAAATTTCTTAGAATTTACTTAACTCGTAAACAATTATTTGGTTTATACCAATTCAAACTCAACTCAAACTCAAAATATCTTTATTTAAATGGACTTTGGTAAGTACTTTTAAATCGTCAACTCCCTACCACAGTTTCGAGATGCAATAATTATTTCACTTAAATACCTAATTATTATGCTGCTTTATCGGAGAAGAAGCGGCGAAAGAAACTCCACAGCTTACAATTTCGTACTGATCTTACAACATCATTACAGGTCAATAGTTACATCAAAAAATAATAATTAAGGTACTAAAAGTACAGTTTTAGAAGCGTAAATTTTGGGCAGATTTTACTCCCACGCATTTTTATCATTCAAATAGTCATTAATTTTATAATAAGCTTTTTTATACAATTTAGCTTTTAAAGTTGTTTTAAATTTATTAATAGGCAAATCTCTCATATTATTTGGAAGCTTATTGTAAAAACGTATACATTGGCCCACAAAGGAATTGTTTATTCTGTGGAGACGAGTCTTATGTACAACCAAATCGTGTTTTTTCCTAGTATTAACATTATGTGTATCAGAAAAATATTATACATTT